CGCGTGTATCGGCGGGCTCAGTCGTATTATCGCGGCATGAAGGCCCATATTAGATAGATACAAGAGCCGTTGACAAAAATACTTTATAAAAAAAAAAATTGTTTAAAAAGTGGGCTTTTCAACAATGGCACTCACGGCCAAGATATTGTCATGGCGTTTTCGCCACCTCAATATTGTAGGTTGTTTGCTCTAAAGAAGGCCTATCAAGGGGGGATCACGGGCACCCCAGGACCCCCCCTGGCTACGCCCTTAGTTAACGAAGATGATGATCTGAACGAGCATGAAGTGAGTGAAGAAGCTAGTGTCTCTGATGAAGGCCAGCAAGAATTTGATGAAAGCGGTGATGAAGAAGTTGACGTCAGTACCGATGATAACAATTCTCTGGACCAGCAAGATGAACTAGCAACATCTACAAATTTTCTTTTGGGTGCAAGGTCGCGATATGGACGGGCATTGAGGTTCAATAATCGACTGTTGGTTTAAAAAGTAAGTTCTTTAAATACATACCTATATATTAACAGAGTAAACGTCACAGCAAGTTCTTCCCGGCGTTTAAAAGAAGGGACTAATTCCGCTTAGCTTCGACGGTGCAATCGGATCTTAGACCAAGTTACAGGCCACGCGTGGCTGATTGATTCAACATTCCAATAGAATCTCCAGACTTTCAGGTCTTAGCTCTCAAATGGAAATGTTACATTAGGGATTTTCGATCGAATTTTGCAGAGCTATCATTTTTTGTGACTGCAAAATTGCAATCCTATAGAAGATTTTTGTGCGAATTTCCCTAATGTAACTGGGGTCCTTTACCTCCTCGAGAGAGCAACAGAAATAAAGCCTCTAATTTTTGTAGATACTAGAAGATGCGAATGCCAAGTCCATGGCATTCACAAATACTGTAATGAAATTAGCGTAGTTTACTCTGTATCCTCCACTTATCACCGCTGTATCGAATCGATCAGGGTTTTAATAACTGGGATGTGAAAATGTATCGGTTTTGATAGTTTTGCATGCGGTTTTCGGTTTTGCTCGATTTTTGTTTCGGTTTTGGATGATTTTTTCTACGGTTTTGCGGTTTCTAATAGGCCCCAATGCCCCCCTCATGAAGTGAGCTGAAAGCTTACTGCAAATTGGTTAGCGGGAGATTTCGTAGATTTTATCTTGTTCCACCCACGACCACGAAAACTCCGCTATGGGGCCTCTCGAGACTTTTGGGAACAAAGTGATAGTTGGATGGAGGTTTAGTGTTAATTTTGGTAAACCGTGAAGAGCCCCAGTTAAGAGGATATCCTTGGAGGAGGGTGTCACGAAAACTAAGACCTAAGACCTAAGACCTAAGACCCCTCGAAAACTAAGACCCCCCGAAAACTAAGACCCATCGAAAACTAAGACCCCTCGAAAACTAAGACCCATCGAAAACTAAGACCCATCGCAAACTAAGACCCATCGAAAACTAAGACCCTTCGAAAACTAAGACCCTCGAAAACTAAGACCCATCCAAAACGAAGAGCCGTCGAAAACTAAGACCCCTCGAAAACTAAGACCCATTGAAAACTAAGACCCATCGAAAACTAAGACCCCTCGAAAACTAAGACCCATCGAAAAACTTTTGGTTACCGAATATTTTAAAAGAAAGAGGAAGTCATGGTGATCTCTACAACCTGGACATAATAAGCCAAAATTAAACGTTTAATATAAATCAGTAAACTTTTCGCTGCTAGATTTACACTAGAAAGAAAAAGTGAGCTTCCGTTTCGCTTTTCACTTAACAACTGGTTAATACGTCAGCGTGTGTTCATCGAGATATGAAGCACGCGGGAAGTTTGGAGAGCAACTCTAGCTTCCCAAGTGCTTCATATCTCGATGAACGCTCGGCTGACGTATGAACCAATTTCAGCGCTGTAGTTTATGTGTAAAGGGCGGATATTCCCTCTCCTACGCTTCAATGCGTTTTTTATTTATTTTGATTCGGAAAAGTGTTTCGCTATCCTTCAATGACCTTGTGTCAGATTGGTCAGAAACTGTCAGGTGAATTCCTGCGTGGAATTGAAGTTAGAGTTGCGAAACGAAGTGAAACCGGCGTTGATTGTTATGTTCTCCCTTTCTCTGGGTTTTTTCTCGGGAGTTAAAAAAATCCATTCCCAACGTACTGAGCCACAATTCCGTAACAACATAACAGGAAAATTACACAACTGTAAACAACAAACCCAACTAAAAAAAAAAGCAAAAGAAGATGGTACTGTAGGGCGGGAGCAGCTCTAGTGAGAACTATAACTAGTAATACAAACTAGTGTGGATGGGGCCTGTTTTGATTTTTTATATGCAAATACGATGGTAACTCTCAAAGTTCATGTAACTTGACCCCTTGACCTAAAGTTGCGTGTTGTACTTTTAACACTTTACTGCTTGAATAATACTACCAGAAGTCACGCACGAGAGCCGCGATCAGAAAAACTTATCTTAAAAATGACGTTTAAAGTTTCCCGAGAATTGAAAGCAGACAACCTATTCTCGCAGAATTAGGTTAAAACGGCCTTTCGTTCGAAATGCGTACATCAAAAACATTCTCTGTTGTGGTGCCGGAAGTCACTGATAATTACGCACTCGGTAATTCAGGCTCCGTCCACACGAATGTGTTGTGAAAGGAGAAACAGAAAGCTCACTTTTTCTTTCTGAATTAAATAGACAGTGTAAATCTAGCAGCGAAAAGTTTACTTATCTATATTCAACGTTTAATTTTGCAACTCGGTAGCCTGCATGTAAACACCCCAAGTAAAATTCATGATCCCCCAAGTTGTAGCTCCTCCAGGTCATAGTTCTCTCGGCTTCACTATGTCCAGGTTGTAGAGATCACCATGACTTCTTTCTTTTAAAATATTCCGTACCCAAAAGTTTTTCGAAGGGTCTTAGTTTTCGAGGGGTCTTAGTTTTCGAGGGGTCTTAGTTTTCGAGGGGTCTTAGTTTTCGAGGGGTCTTAGTTTTCGAGGGGTCTTAGTTTTCGAGGGGTCTTAGTTTTCGAGGGGTCTTAGTTTTCGAGGGGTCTTAGTTTTCGAGGGGTCTTAGTTTTCGAGGGGTCTTAGTTTTCGAGGGGTCTTAGTTTTCGAGGGGTCTTAGTTTTCGAGGGGTNACAAAATATTAAAAATTGACAAAGGCTGACGACAGAAGTATACAACTATAAAGCTCAACGATTCTTTTCCACCAATATATTCATATTTTTGTGCGCTACCTACTTAATTATGTTAGGTTGAATCAAGATTCTAATAGTTTTCCTGCTCTTAAAATGGATCATACAGCGACAGCATGTTTAGGAAAATATTGTCTTAGAAACGCTCAGCAAGTATCAGACGTAGAGCCAATACGATTATTGCCAGACACATTCCCAGACCCGCTTTGTTGATTCTATGGAATGACCCAGAGTTGCAATTATCTCCTGAACAGCAGCTGTTGGCGGACGAGTACGACCAACCTATGGATGACGAAGATGAGCAGGTTGGAGTATCGTCAGCTTTGGGGCCACAATCATCTCCTGGAGCGCCACACCTCTTGTAATAGACGGTTTTTGTATCCTCACCTAGTGAAGTACAGGTCGCTGTACCTGTGACACAGTTGGGTGACCCCGATGGACAGTCGAATTTATTCATCTTTGAGTTGCAATCTGCCCACGACGTTTCACTCGTGCATTTGTTACAACTGAGAGAATCTGTTTAAGGACGAAATATGCAACCTGTGTGATTAAAAATCATCAAACAAAGCACACAGGTACTAGGAGCTAATCGCTCACGAACGGCGGCAAGCCCATTCAAGCATCTTAAAAATGATAAACAAGAAAATGCTCATGGTTTTTTGATTCATTCGCGATGCAGGCTACCCAGCCATAGCTGTTCTTCTACTTACTTGCTGACTGAAATACAACAACTACGTGCACCATAATCATGAATACATGGAAACCAGAAAAAGCCATTTTCGTGCCTTGACTCGTCCGCTCGAATAACAGTCGTGCTTAAAGTCAGTAGAGGTAATCCCGCTATCACGCGGCTAACCCATATAAGGCAAGAGAACCCATATAAGGCAAGGGTGCGTACGACGATAGAAAATTATTCATGCAGAAAGGACGCCTTAGATTTGTTAGGTAGTCTTTCTTTATAAATATTTGTAAAGAGGTCAGTCACTTTTATCACGAGGCCCTGGCTCAGGAGATCTGGGCGACCACTCCCCATGTAGCTCACATAAAATAATTAACAACTATTCACCGAAGTGGAGGTGGTTAGTGGTGGATATTTACCGAGCCGCGAAGCGGCGAGGTAAATATCCACTGCTAACCACCGACACTGAGGTGAATAGTTGTTTTAGTATATACTAAAACAGTGAGATAATATACACCACCAAAAATTGATTTGAGTGATTTCTTCGCTTGTCATGGATACAAACCGGGACGCCATTTTTTCCCGAGTTGCTCGGAGGTAAATAGCAAAGGATATTCGGAGTTTGACTAGCCAATCAGAGCGCGCCTTCAACGCTATCCACTGTTTTAGTATATACTAATTTTAATTACACCCTGGAGTAACAATTGATCATTTCGATTGATCCTCTGATGACTTTCTTTTTGTTAATTATGTTATTTTATCTCCAGGTTTACGAAAAACTTGCAGAGGTTTTGACGCGATGGGGTACGTGTGTAGAAAATGAATTGAGCTTTATTCATGCGTTAAGGATAAGGCCAAT